TACAAAAGTTTTGCCCCCGTGTTATTTCTGCTCACATAAATTGTCATTTTTAATTCACCTGAGATGTAATTAAGGAGCTGCCACTTCCCTTTGTTACATTTTTGTTGCCCGCTCCTATAAAAAAAACCTTCTTAGTAAAAACCACATTAAAGAGACAAAAAACCATTGTTAAAAGAGAAAAGACACTTGCACTCTGTAAAAAACATGGAAAACAGTCTTACTCAGATCAAAAAATGGACATTTGTTGAAAACAGCAGGATTAACAATAGAAATAAAAGTATTAGAAGCAGTGGCACCATGTAAAAATTTGCCCTGGAGGTCGCCAGTCTGTTTTTTGAGGGGTTTGCATAAAATCCTCAAATGTGGGCTGGGTCCATTTTCTTCACAGAGTGAGAGAGGGTATATTAGAAGCCACATTAGGTATAGAGGAATACTTCACTGCACACTGGGAATGTCTGTATGTATGTATGATTTGTGCACAGCAAATTTCATTGCACTATTTTGGGAAATGAGAATAAACTTTTCTTATTCTAATTCTAATCCACATACATACCTACTGTCACACATAAAAACGACAAGTGCCAGTATTTTTGTATGATGTCCAAATATTAGTTTGATGCTTCAAACATGTCCCTGTTTATACCTTGTTACTGATAAAATAGACATGAATGTAAAACAGCCAGATATCAGCCTGCCGAAAACCAAATCCCTGTATAAACAGGGACCCCTCATCAGAGTAACAAACTGAATATTGTGAAAACAAAACTAAAATTTGTCTTCTTTATGACCTCCCATATCCCCTTCATGGACCACTTCAAGTTTTTATGTGATTTCCTATTCAGTATGAACAGTCCTCAAATACATCTTTTTAGCAAAACCAGGGAGTTAGAGGGGTCAGAATTTTGAGAATGGTAGGAAATTGTCAGAGCATCTTTTCATTTGTAGTATCAAAATAATGCTAGAAAAATATGTGTAAGCTGTCCATAGTGTTTAGATATAATTATGTAAATTTATATTGGTACCTTATTGTAATGTATGAGCTCCCAAAGATGCACCACTAACAGTACTGGCTGTAGAGCAAGGTGAGATGAGGTCATTTGGCCCACTTGGTTTAAGGAATTCAGAAATTAATCATTAAGAAAGTTTGTTGCTATAATAATTAATTATCAGTGGAAAATGTTTGCATTTCCAACTGTTTTGAACTTCAGTCTGTGTTCTGTATAAGGTTGACACAGGGTCTTGCATTTTGCTCAGTCAGTAAAACATAGCTTTTCAGTTTTGCCATATAGCACTTCATATTCTTGTTAATGTCACACAAGCTCATGCTGGCACCTTGAAAGATCAATCTCCATCAGGGCTTATAGTCCATTGCTAATTTCAGCATTCCTCTATTTTTTTCTGATTGATGGCCATAAAATTTCCTGTTGCAGAGCAGGGGTAGTCCTGGGTCTAGCCAGTTGCTTGGTGTTTGCATTAATAAGTGTTTACATGGTAGTGAGAATCTAGGAATTTAACATAGACATCAATTTGGTTGCATACTATATTAGCTTTTAGTCAGTGTGAGTTTTAATTCCTCGAGCTCAGTTTACTACTTGCTGTATTTCAAGAAGGCTGTATGTCAATTCTAGGCTTAAATCTATGCAAAAAGGAAAGCGTTGCTGCCAACAAGGATTCAATTCATGACTAATGCTGACAAAGCTACTATAGTGAGTGTGCAAGAAGCTCTCAGAAGCTTCTCTGCAGAGTGTGTGTGTGTGTGTTATCCCATTAGAACCAGTGGCTGGTGTGTTGGATGTGTAGACTTTGAATTGGATGATTGTTCTGTGTTTTATTTAATCAATCAACTGGCTCTCAGGGGGCACACATTGCTGTTACGTAAAAGTAAGTACAGCTAGAAAATCAATGTGCAGTTCCCACTGGTTCTAGAATGACAGTAGTTTGGCTCTTACCACTGACCATTGACACAGATTGATATATTATGACAGGCTGAAAAGGCCGTCCCATAATGTACCAATCTATGGGGTTTGGGGCAATCTCTTTAAAACCATTAAACTCACAATATTAACACTGTGCATGATGTGCATAATGGAATTCTGAGTTCTGTGTGTTAATGTAATGCCTACAAAACTGTCAATAGACTTATCAGTGAACAGAGCAGTGTGTGGCAAAATTATTTGAATCTTGTTGAGTTTCCCTTTTAACGAATGCTCCTTTTCAAGCAACATTGCCCGGATTTGGTATTTAAATTAGCTGGTCCCCCCAACCCACCTCCAATAATCATACTGTCTGGCTGAATGAATGATTAGCTTTAATAAACTCCAATCAAAAAAGCAGGGCCAATCTGAAGCAGGGCCATGTCTCTATCACACCTTGAGTCACCTATCGGGCGTCTTAATGAAAGATATGATGATCATGATAATGATGATGATGAGTAAATAGTAATAGTAAGCAGATAACTTTTGTTATGGAAGTTTTCTGGAAGCTGGTGAAAGGAGAACTCAGGCAGCAGCTGATGTCTTATGCAGAATATTTTTATATAGGTTGTAGGCTGTAATGTTTTTTTATCCCACATATGCAAAACAATAACAAAATATTCTTGTAACATCAGGGTTTTTCCTGGCTTTAAATGAGGTGGTGGTGGTACCTGATTGTGGGCTCACAGGTGCACATGTACCATGGCTCAAGCAAGTGTTTTACTAGCAGTCTATTTTAGGATTTGTAATTACATGAATTAAAAAAAAATGACAAATATTATTTTAAAGCATAATCATTTATTTTTTATGTGCTTTGTTTAACATTCACTTCAGTTACATGGCAGCTTAACCACCATTGACTTGCACAAGGCACAGTCAGTGGCAGAACATTTGGCCCTCCTTGGTTTTATCCTGTAGAACCTCCTGATGCAGTCTTTATACAAAGACCTCCTGGTTTGGACCATCAATGGCCACCTTACAGCATATGTCCAGGAGCCTCTCCTTAAGTTGTTTTTATCTTAAAATGCAGCTGCAATGCTGAGAGCAAGATACAGTAGAGAGGGTTCAGGGGAAACAAGCCATAGAAGCACCTCCTCCAATGACTTGTTCTGAAGTAGAGCACCAGATAATCATGTGAGAATTCCATTCAAATTCAACATTGTAATATGTCACGCCATCTGCGCCGTGCCTAAGCCAGGTACATTTGTTGAGCCATTGTGAGTCAAATCCACTGGCTTGGTGTTTTTTAGACGTGGAAAGATTAAAAAGTTACTGTAAAATCATTATAACGTTGTTTATATTCTCAACTTATATTGACACCGGAATGACTGGCTGAATACCCTCGGCTTGACTCACTGTCCTGCTGTGGGGCTTCACTCTCTATCTGTCATCATCCGTGTTTGTTGCAGGGAAAACTTCCTCTTCTTCGTCTCTCTGGATGTGGTGGTAAAAGATGCTTTGTTTGACATGTCGGCCAGTGCTAATTTCGACACAGCGCCACCGCCACTACTGGTGGTTGCGTGCAACTGCAGTTACATATGAATGAAATAAGAGATCCCGACAGGGAAACGCTTGTTGAAGTTACCGATAGAAAACCAGCCGTGAGCTGGTGGCGGTAAGGAATTTGGCAGTGGTGGCTGCCACCAAATTCTCTATGCAGGAAAAACCCTGTACAGTATTCATATAATAATTGTTCAGTAGTGTCTCTGAGGTTTTACAGTCAGTGACTGATGTGCACTGCACAGCTAATGTTACAGTAACATTACTCAGTAAGATGAACACAGAGCTGTGGTATAAAAACACTTTGTGTTGTGTTGTTCTTGTTGATATCAAGCAGACCATGTAGTAATATAATAAAAACACAAACCTGTAGSTTCATTCTGCTCCCAGTGGTTCAGTCTCTCCTCCTCCTCACTGCTGCAGCTCCAGGATCTCCTCCTCTTCTCTTGCTCACCTCAGTACAGAACTCAAGTGTTTCAGCACGTAAACAGAGAAGACAAGTGTCTCCTGCTGTCTCTCTTTTATCAGTCTGTTTGCTAACATTAGCCCGCATTAACATTGAACTAATTCAGCTACCTCAGTAATAAAGCGCTACCACAGCGTGGTAATACATTTATACTATTAGCTACTGTTTACATAAGTAATATACAGGTAACATGAGTAAATATATCGATGTATAGACTGGAGAGAAGACAACTTAGTGAGGTAGTCTGGCGTTTTGAAGCATGAGGGCCACCATAGCTCTCCTCACGCTCAGGAGGGGAGGAGAAAGTGAGGAGCACCGAATTTAATGCGATGTTTCCAGCTTGTTACAAACTGAACTTATAAGCAGTGGTGAGGGGTGTGATGGCAGTAGACAGGCAGGCGGTGAGAGGAGGGCTCAAGGGAAGGGCAGCACAAGAAAAGATTTGAACATGTCCTCTTCATCATTGGATAAACAACAGCAGTGGTCCATAACTGGGTTAAATCGCAGGTCAAAATGGCCAGCAGATAATTTCTATAATTTGTTCATTTCACAATATCAGTGTGACACAGATGTAATTTTTTGTCACGAGTGCTGATTCCTGTCGTGGCAACAACACGCATAGAATCACTGCCTCTTCTTTTGCAATTTTTCTAAAAGTAAAAGCACAGTGTTTTTTGTTCCATTTGAAAAGTTGTGAACTTGGCTCTGTAGATTGTGTTTATTGCTTAACAGACAGCAGTTAAGAAAAAAAGTCACACTATATTGTAGGTCTGTTTCAGCAGGGTTCACTGATGACAAGCAATAATTCTGAATTAGGCTCTGCAGCATAACCACAGGCTAAGCAAACAGACCATTCCAAACAGTCAGGTTTACAACAGGTACTGCACTATTTATTGTAAATGTGATATTTTTGCACCCTTAATTCTAAGAAACAATTTCGACATTATGACTTTAAGAAAATGTTATGGGTATCTTTCACAATTTTTATTTTATAGACCAAACAGTTCAAGAAAATAATCATTACAGCCCAACTGATAGGTCTTTATTTTCCTTCTTTCCAGATACATTGAGTCCTGGACGGGTCTACAAACCTTGAGGGATGTGGATATGGAGCTCTACACCGGCTTAGAGAGACTGTAAGAAGAAGCATTTCTCAATGTCACTGTGTCTGTTTGCTCATGCACTGTTATAATTGTAGGATATATCACAACTAAAATATCTGGCTGCTGAGAATATTTAACTCCATTCCAACGCATCGACCCACTAATCACACAAATGTCTGTCTGTCTTTCTGTCTGACTGTTTCACTTGTTCATCTAATTGACTTCACAATTGCTACATGTATTCTTAGAGGTCATGGGAAATGCAGTGCCAAGTTTGGTGCAATTTGGACACGGATATATTTATTATAGTAGCGACCAGCACTTAGCACCTTGATATTTCCTCAGACAATCGTGGCACCAAAATTTAATATCGTGACATCCCTAGCTGTATGTCTTTTTCCTTCAATAGTGCCAATAATATATCATAGAATATCGTGAAACTCTGATATTTCCTCTGACAATAATCGTGGCACCAAAATTTCACATTGTGACATCCATACTTCTGCACCATAAACTGACTGTATATAAAAAATATTGTAGGCCTGTTTGAGGAGGGCTGACAAGGAATAACTCTGAAGTAACTCCAGAGCATTATCACAGGACAAGCAAACAGCTGTGGTTCAATGACAGCTAAGTACAACACAGACAGAAGCTGACTTGTATTTATTCTCAGAGGACAGCTGTAGCACATCCTCCACTCTGTGGAATGACTGCAATCCTGCAGCTGAGAAAAAATACTTGCTCTTCTCCCGCTGATGACTAGATCATTAAAAGTAAGCATGAGGTTCTGCTGTAGCTTCCTTTTAACCCTCAAATCCAAAGCAGCTATTGTAGGAGATGTCGTGCACAATAACTGCCAACAGCTGGATGACTGTCAGACTCATTTAGATTTTGTCTCACCGGGAAACAAATGAAAGGACAACTTTAAAATGGCCAATGATAAATCTAATGGCTGTTATGTGGATCATTGGCAGACATGGGTAACCCTGTAGTATGAGACTAAAAACTTCATGAAATCTTACAGTTTTAATGTTTAATTCATATAGGTCTTTTTTTCGGGGGGGGAAATATGCACTTTCACTATGAAATATTACGATTTCTGAGAACTGAATCCTCCAGAGCATTGATATTTTAGAAAACTGGACGATGCCACTCAGCTTTACTCCTGATTTGTCTCCAGGGAACATAAATACCACTGTTATAAAAGAGACGTCTCTAGAAGAAAAACTACAACTTTATGTGTTATTACAGAACATTGCTAGGAGCAGCTCCACCTGGGTGTCATGCTTTTTGTCAAAACGTACATGGTTCATAATGTCCCATCAGGTAGCTGCTTATCAAAACATTTGTGCTATATTCATTGTAATTTCAGGGTCTTTCATTTTAGCCAAAATGTTTACCTCAAGTAATAAAGTAAATATTAAAATTATTCACTCTGTTGTGATAGGAAATCCTGGAAGTTTTGCTTTAATTTCTACCCCCTCAAAAAAGTTCTGTAGGTTGTGTAAAGATTTCTGCTCATAACAAGCAACACCATCTACTTGCACTGCAAAACACCAAACACCATCTCCTTTATTGGCCTCATTTAATCATTGTAATCATTTCTTTAAATATAGTATATATAACACATCATATGGTAAGTAGAGATTTATAATAAAACAACTTGGTGAGACAAAGGTGGTGAAGTTGAGAACCAAGGACATATTTATGCTTAATGGTAAATGGTTTGGTGAATGGTCTGGATTTATAAAGCACTTCTCTAGACTTGACCACTCAAAGCGCTTTACAGTACAGTTTCTGGCATTCACTAATTCACTCACACATTCATACAGTGTATATACTGTATGTGCAGTACTTTCACTCAGCCTCTCTGCACAGGTTTCTTCAAATCATATCAATGATCATCTATCAAATGTCTTTCTAGAGCAAGAGAACAGAGTGTGAGTAGATTTCCAACATCAAATATTTCACAAAATATGGCTTTAATTCGTTTTCAGGGCTTTCATTGTATGCAAGCTTACCAGTGACAGTGAACAAATGACTGTGCTGTTCGGGAATGCAGGTGCACAGAGCACACACCACTTGAAATTTGCCTTCTCCAGGCACCTCACCTGCATTCATTACTATCAGACTATGAAAATGAGATGTTATGATGGCATGGGTCCTATGGACAGTTCTTCTCTCATTTATGTGATGTTAACAGTCTGTTGGCAGATGTAACACAGAATCATTCCTATTGATTGCATTTATCCACAATCAATAATTTATGTATGCAGCTTTGAAAATGGATGAGATTTAAATATTACTGTCTTCATTCCTGCTGTGATGTGTTATCTGTGTATCTCGTTATATGATCTGTTTTTATTTCTGCCTGTCTTTCTTTTCCTTTCTCTTTCATTGGTTGAATTGTCTTTAATGATAGTTTCTAATCTGTCCTTCCCTCCTCTAACTGACAAACTAATTCACAGATGGAGCTGAAAGATATTGATATTAGCTGCTCTCTCTCTCTCTCTCTTTCTCTCTCTGTGTGTGTTATAGCACAATTACAAGGAGCAACCTGCATACAATCCATACTCGTGTTTTCTCCAAGAACCCCCACTTGCGTTACATGTGAGTACACACGCACACACACACACACACACACACACACAGTAATCTGAGGCAAGGCAAAAGGTCTGAAATTCCCCTCAAATTCTGTGATTAAGATTGAAAGCTGTATTGTGAAAAAAAAATCTAAAATCTGACATCAAACAAAATATTGTCAAACACTTAACAGAGTGGAGAAAAGGAGTGGAAAGGCTTGCCCAGAGTGTATTTATGTATATAACAGTCATATACTAAAATAATAAATACAAGAATATAAAATAAAGCATACATCAAATGAAACACATCCATGAACCAATCAGACATACATCATACATAGCAACAGAAACTAATTCATACAAAGTCACACATTTACATAGCAGCTGAACAGGAAATAGGCACCACAATTGTACAGGCTAAATACAGAAAATCAGGCAAATCCTGAGAGAAAAGAAATGTTTTTAAGTTTGCTTTTAAAAGTTGACAATGTTGACGTGACAGACCACAGTAACTAAAGGTGCCATCACCAGACATGAATCTGAGTTTGGCTAGAAGAGCACTGCTTGCTGACCTGAGGCCTGACCCGGTTGTATCCAGCGAGCAAGTCAGAAATGTGCTGTGCAGCTGAGCCATTAAGAGCTTCGAAAACTAATAGGAGTTTGTAGATTCTGTGATGTTCTAGAAACCAAGAGTATTTTAGTATTGGAGAGATATGTTCAAATTGTCGCGTACCAGATAGTTGCAATTGAGAGAAATGTATTAAAGGTTATCAAAGATTGCTTCTATCTTTTTTCTCTGAGAAAATATGTTTCTAAACAAATTACTGGACTGGCTGAGTCTTGGCTTGAGGAATTGGCTGTCATGTTATGTTGTGCCATCCATTTGTGTCATAGTTGTTTTGTTTTCAAAACGTAAGGGTCTGAAGAATCCTTGTTGGATTGCATGAATAACGTTGTTCTGCTTGTGTCTGGGTACTTTGCTAGACTATGCAAACATATAGTGTAGGCTTTATTATCTAACTATTATCATTTGTTTTGTCTCAGATATAAGGCAAGGCAATTTTATGAAGCAAATTTCATACACAGAGGTAAATACAAGTGCTGTAGTAACAATCTATATTTTCCCTGTGATATTTCCATCTTCTTACCTGTCTACTGTTTTGGTTCAGGCTGATGCTCTCAGGAGAGCTACTGCTTCTAGAGAAACAACTGTAAAAGCCCTTTATCCACTACCTGCTCAACAGCATCCAAATGTCCGACAAATGCAGCATTTTGCATTTACTATCATTCTATTGGATGACTATGTTTGTTTGCCAACTTACTAGTTTTGTCAACAGTGAGTTTTTTTTTTAACAATAAAAGCCTACCAGTATCTTCATATTAAAATTAAAAATTGATCACAGGACTGTTTTTAACTTCAGCTAGGAGTACTCAATAGACTGGCAAATCAGTGTATACAGAAAAAGTTAATTTGATGAGTCAAGACAAATGTGATTGACAAGAAAAACAGCCATAAATTGCACTGCATCATAGCCACTCAGACCCACACAGAATGACTGACATTTTAATTTACAGTGACAACACCTGTCATGCCAGTCCAGAGATTGTGTGTGTGTGTGCATGTGTTTGTGTGTAGTATTGTCCTCAGTGAAGAGTTTCAACAGTCACAGTCATTACAGACAGTAAGCATAGGCTGTCCTATGCTTTCTAGAAAGCCCTGGCCCTATTCGATCGCGGTGAGTGAAAAAAATAGAACAGAAGCCGAAACCGTCGCTGCAGATCCCAAGCCGGCTGTGATGCATCGCTGCCATTGTCAACAGCCCAATTGATTAATATGGGTGCTGAAAGAGAGCATTTCATTGCGCTTCCGCTTCCGATGTGGCCATGGCGTTACTGGTGATAATGAAAGTGGTACCCATACATCCTGGGGGTCAGGGTCAATTATTTTTTTTTAGGTTTGCTATATTCACAAAAATTGTATAGGTAGTTGTAGTTTAGTTGAATGCTTAATGCTCAACTAAACTGTCAAGTTTTATACTTAGCATGCTACCTAATTGAAATGCTAGCTGACTGCAGAGCAGCCTGTTTGTCAGCATAGCAGCTAGCTGAATGATTTTTAACAATATACTGGCTTCCTGGCTCTGTGTGCATTTATGTTGTTTTCACTCATTTGATGCTGTGGGGAAACTTTCTCTGGTGCCATTTTTGTTTCAAGTTGTTTCAAGTGAAAACTGAGTGTTTAGTGGAACTGCGAACATATATAATATATATATCATATAATTCTCATCTTGATAGCTGTTTTTCACACTAGTATCATGATGTGGGAAATGTGCCAATGAGGAACAGCAATGTAACACTATGGATGTATTTTCTTAGACTGTTACTGATAGATAGTGTCACCAATGCTTTTCATTCACCACTGGAAGTGAAGTCATGACTCATCAAGTCAATAATAACGTGAATATGGGCCTTTACACAGTTTCAGTCTGAGTTTTCAAACTAAAACAGTGCCAAAAGTGTTTCCAAAGTTCTGTTTTAGGGGCTTGAAAACACTGGAGTTGTGTAAATGTTTTTTTTAAACTAAAATATATTAGTTTAGATGTGGCATTAGATAAAAGGAAATGCTACCAAAAAGGCAACATAAATTCATTTGGAAGCAGCATCTGATATATTTTCATAGTTCAGTGTTTCAATGCTCTACAGGCTGCAGGCCTCAAGGTTAATAAGAAAAAATCTGAAAATGAAATGGAAGTATAAATATGTCTTCTTTCCCCTCCTGTTCTAAGAGGAATTTAATAAGGTCCATAATCTCAGCAGCTATGAATGAAAAACATTGTTCCACCACAAGAAGAAACGAAAGGGAGGACATGGGCGGGGCTGGCATTAAAAGAGAATGTGCAGCAAAGAGACACAGACACAAAAGAGTATAATTTACATTTTAATTGCCATAACCAATACCTCTGCCATTATAACTGTTGCAAGTGCTACAAGGCCTAATAGGACAAATAGTATTCAGAGGTTTCTCAGTCCGTGTGGAACACGCTCACAGCTGCTGGAGTTGCAGGGAGTGAGAGCAAGGCAGCTGCTTGCAGGTTGGGGGAGGCACTTGTTGGCTTTGGAATAAGTGGGAGGAGTTGAACACAAAGCCAGGGAGGATGGGCAGTGACACCACTGCTGATATGCCAACTGGAAGGTGTTGTAGTTCAGGGTCGCCCAATAGAAGTTGGACCAAGTTTTTCCTGGCTGAAAGCAACCGTCAACAATAAGAAAGTGACTGAGTGAGTTAGCATTTTGATGTATCTAATGATGCATCTATATTGTATGGAACATTACATAACAGTAATGTAACAATAATATAAAGTGAATTTGTGTACTGAGCAATGAGTGAAGAATGATTCAGGAACAACCTGATGGTTGGAATCATAAACGGGGTTCTAATCTCCTGATGTACAGTCACACAGCAAGACTAAATGGTAATTTGTCCTCTGTTTTTTGTTTGTGTATAGGCATCCACGTGTGTTTATATGATTTTCAATGTACTTACTGTAAAATATAGGCTAGAAAAATAGTAAAATAGTTGGATTGACCAAGATCCTGAGATACTTAAATAGCTTAACTTCAAGCAGCAACTCACCCCAATCCCGGGACAGCAATCCAGAACACAACCAGTTCCCTCTGGTAGGCGCTACAGAGCACTGAGGGCAAACACTACCAGACACATGAACAGGTTCTTTCCTCTGGCCGTCACTCTGATGAACACTTAATCATTCAGCATCAGGAACAATCCATGTGCAATAATCTGGTACCTATATCTTCTAAATTATATACATAAATACATATTCCATCTACCTCATGTATATTAAGTATCCTGTGACAAATAAATGGTAAATGGTTGTATTTATATAGCGACAACCTTTCCCTATTTATTTTATATACTTTTGCATACATATTTATATCTGTACATAGTTAAATGTTGGCTTAACCTTGCTTTTTTGTCCTTGTTTATTTTTCTATTTGTGTACGTTGAGAGTAAAAGAAAAACCGCAGTCAAATTCCATGTATGTTGATGTAGTCTTAGAAGATTGCATTCACTTTTTTGCAGATGCTTTGCTGCTACCTCTGTTTGAGAGTCCAGGTCATCCAGTGTCTTTACCTCCTGCAGAACAAAATGTTCTCGAACAGTTTCTTTTCTTTCTTATTTTTTGTGGAATATGCTATTATTCTGCCCCTTAAAAATACTTATGCTGTTCCCAAGAAGTATATGTGGTTGTCTGTGGTGTAGTTGGTTTCTTTGAAACTTTCCTCATTGTAGGACTCATAAAGGATTATCTTATCTTATCTTCTAGAAAAGATGAGGACTCATGTTCAAAATACTATATCAAATTTCAGAAGTAAGGTATTAAGGTACCACCATCTAGGTGGTAGGTGTGGCTCTGTTCCTTTTATAATGTGGGGGTGATTGGAGCATGGTCTGAGATAATAATTTGGTGGATGTTTGATTCTCTATGCGTGATTGACATTATTCAAAAAAATAATGTGAGAGTGTAGTGGACACTGGTGATAGACAGAATTCCAGGGGGGGGAAGGGGATGGGGTTAAAATCGGTGTTTGTTTTGCTAACACCTGAAAGTTCTCTGTAGCCGGAAAAAGTTTGTAAAAAAAACGCACACCGAGCTGCAGAAAACTAGAAATTTCCCGACTACTTTATCCCATCGACTCCTACAAGAGTATGTTTTGTGATATGAGGAGTAGTAGGAATATTCTCCAGATATCTGTCAGTCCACACACATATATAGTTTAATTAGAGGCATAGATTAGTAATATATAATTAATAGGGTATGTGGGTGGTAGAAATCGAGGAGCGATTAAGATCTGGATTTAGTGAACAATAAAAATCTCCTCCTGAGATGATGTGGGAGTTGGAGAAGTGGGCTAATTCTGAAATAAATGAATGGAAGGAATTAGGGGAGTTAATGTTCGGGCCATAAATACTGGCTATTTATAATGGGATAGATCTACTCACCACCATGCCGATATGGTGGTGGGTTAAGTGTTTGAGTCCACAATACACTATTGGAGACTCAGGGGTTAACAGTGTTGCAGCCAAATCCAATATGATTGAAGTAACATGTGACTCCTTCAGACGTAATAAAACAACAGAAAAAAATCATAATATGCCTCCATACTGCTTTTATCCAAAGTGACTTACAATAAGTGCATCAACCATGAGGGAACAAACCCAGAACAACAAGAATCAAGTAAGTACAGTTTGCTGCAGTGCTACAATATTAATACCATATAAGTGCAACTATAT